GAGGGGGGAGAGGAAGAAGAGGAAGAGAAAGGAGAGGGAGAGTAGGAAGAAGAAGGAGAAGGAGAGGAAGAGGAGGAAGAAGAAGAAGAAGAAGAAGGAGAGGGAGAGGAGGAGGAAGAAGTAGGAGAGGGAGAGGGAGAGGAGGAAGAAGAAGGAGGAGAGGGAGAGGAGGAAGAAGAAGGAGAGGGAGAAGGAGAGGTGGAAGAGGAGGAGGAGGAGAAGAAGGAGGAGGAGGAGAGGCCAACCCTCTCCAGGAGTGAAAACTGGTCCAATGTGTGTTGTGTGCGAACAGAGGGACGCTTGCTATTTAACCGATGGGGTTGAATGGTTTTTTTTAACTCCATGTAATCTATCCAACATCTCTCTATGGCAGCGTTTCTCGAAGCTCGGCAACTTTGAAAGGCCTGGACTTCAACTCTCAGAATTCTAGCTGGCTGGGGAATTCTGGGAGTTGAAGTCCAGGAGTTTTAAAGTTGAGAAACCCCGCCATAGAGACTTTGGATTGTCGGTTGAGAATAGTAGTTACTATTAAAGAAAAAAAAAATGGGATAATTGGTACAAATGGTTGAACAATAGAAAGAAGGATAAAGGAGGTAAGAAAATTAAAGATAAATGTATATGGATGTATATAAATGTAGATATTTACATGAGATTGGTCTGTATAATAATGATGACACAGTAGTGTTAAAATTAAGATCAATATGTGTAAAAGGTGAAAAAGAACAATAAAAACTATTGCAAAAGAAAAAAACCGGAATGACTTTCGTTTCTCCTTGGAAACCATTTCTGGACTTTGTGCTCAAGAAGGGAGAAAAAATTGGTAAAAACTTGTAGAAATATAGAATGAGAATAATGGTAACTAAGTCAGAAAGAAACAGATGAAATAATAATAATGATATTGAATAAGAGTAAAGAGAAGTAAAGAGAAATTGAATAAGAGGTTTTGGTATATTATATGGAAATGGTTTAAAACAGAATCATAATTTATCTGACTTGTTAAATTTACAAGGGAAAAAGGTTTAAACATGTAATGAATAATGATAATTTGTGTGTTTTAAAAATTAATAAAACTTGTTTTAAAAAAAAAAAAAAGAAGGGAGAAAAAAAAAAGGAAAATTTGATTTTGGGGTTTAGTGATGATGAGATAGGTTTGTTAAATAAAAAGTTGAGGCTTGATGCTATTATATTATTCTACTGCACCAAAGGAAGTCAAAAGGCAATGGCTTTTCTTCCTTTTCCCCCTTTTCCCCTACAATTTTCCTTTCCCTTTTCCTATTTTCTTTTGTATTTTATATGATAAACTAATTATTTCCTGACAGTTGGAACAATTAATCAGTGGAACAACTTGCCTGCAGAAAGTTGTAAAATGCTCCAACACTGGAAGTTTTGAAGAAGAGATGGGACAACCATTTGTCTGAAGTGGTGTAGGGTTTCCTGCCTAAGCAGGGGGGCTGGACTAGAAGACCTCCAAGGTCCCTTCCAACTCTATTCTATTCTAAAAAGAGGGAGGTTACAGTTTCTCCAGAAGGAGGCAGCCTGTCCCCATGGATATATTTGGGGCTCTATCTGCCATCAATTTCAGCAGGCACAAACTGTCCGTAAAAAGGTTGTGAAACTTGGAGATGCAAATATCTGGAGATATTGTTGGGGGTTGCTAAGGATCAAATATCCTGTTCAGTTGTGGTCCTAAGTGATTCAACAAACACCCATGGGTGTCTTCTCCACGTCTGCTTATAGGCTGTCGTCCTCGTCTTACGGCCATTTGTTTTAACGACAGGGCGAAGTCACAAACCAGCTCAGAAAAAGTGACTTCGGTCCATCGGTCCTCAAAGTTACAACCGTCGCAGTCAATGCCATCGCAACGTGGGTGCCACGGTGGCATTGATGACAACTGTAACACCTGCAAACAAGTCACGTGATCACAAGCTTCCAGCCAGCAAAGTCAAATCGGCAAAGCTGGATTCACTTAAGGACCACACGATCCTGACGGTGAGAACAATTAACCCGGGCAACGACTCGCCTCTGAAAGTTGTGAGGGCTTCATCGCTGGAGGATTTTAAGAAGAGACTGGACAGCCGTTTGTCTGAAATGCGATAGGGCAGTGGTGGCTAACCTTTTGGGGCTTCTGTGACAAAAATTGTGCGCGCGTGCTCATGTGCCAGCACCTAGAAGGCAATCTGCACAGCCCCCCCATGCCCCCTTGGCCTGCCATGCGCTCCCCCCCCCCCCATTACCTGCACGGCACCTCCCAGATGATTTTCAGCCCATTTGAGGCCTTTTTCGGCCTCCCAGAGGTTTGAGGAAAGCCTCTGCAGCCTTTGGAGGCCGAAAAATGGGCCCGTTTCGTCACTTCCGGTATTTCTAGAAATACAGGAAGTGATGAAACGGGCCTTTTTTTCGGCCTACAAAGGCTGCAGAGGCTTCCCTTGAGCCTTTGGGAGGCCAAAAAAGGCTTCAAACCAGCAGAAAATCAGCTGGGAGGCGCACGCATGCACAGTGAGGTAAGTTTGCCTGGGGCTCGCATGCCCACACAAATGGCTCTGCATGTTGGACTAGAAGACCTCCAAGGTCCCTTCCAACTCTTTGTTATTTTATTCTGACTTGCTTAACAACTGCAGTATAAATGGTTGTAAAAATAGGATCCGGTCAGATGAGGACTCACTTAGTGACAGAAATCCCAATTCTAATTGCATCGTAAGTTCGAGGACTATCTGTAGACTGCACGTTGATCTAAAAGAGATCCTTTCTTGGCTGTGCAGCACATAAAAATACGCCCAAGCACACTCTGATCATGATAAAGTGGCCAGTCAAATTTGGGAATGTCTTCAACAACTTCCTTTCCAAAAGTGTAGGAAGACCAAATTAAACAACCCTTGTTGAAATCAGCTTGGCATTCTCCATATGGAGGACAAATGAGTAAGGTACGAGTAAGTAAAGATAAAGGATTCCCTGTCAGTCATGTCCGTCTCTAGGGGGCGATGGTCATCTCCGTTTTCAGCACTGACATGTGACCAGCAAAAGGCGCACAGAACGCTGTTACTTTCCCACCAAAGTGGAACCTATTTATCTACTCGCCTTTGCATGCTTTCGAGCTGCTAGGTTGAGCAGGAGCTGGAACAAGGAACGGGAGCTCATCTTGTCACGCGACCCTTGGGTCTCGAACCTGACAAACTCAGTGTCTTTACCCGCCGAGCCACCGCGCCCCCATCAAATGAGTATTGTCTCAATGATGAGGGTATAATCGAAAAGCTAAAAAAGAAAGACAAGGGAACGTGCAACCAATCTCAGTCCAATTCTTGGAATTTTAGCTACGTTGTCCCTGGGATTGGTTTAAATACAGGTAGCCCTCGATTTAACAAGCACTCATTTAGTGACCATTCAAAGTTACAACGGCATTGAAAAAAGGGACTTACGATCGTTTTTCACACAACCGTTGCAAGCATCCCCCTGCTCACATGATCAAAATTTGGACGCCTGACAATGATTGTAGTGTCCCGGGGGTCATGTGATCCCCTTTGGTGACCTTCTGACAAGACCAGATTCACTTAACAAACTGCACTGATTCATTTAACAACTATGGCAAAATTGGCTGTGGCTGTCTTGATTAGCAACAGAAATTTCGGGTTCCTCTGTGGTCGCAAAGTTGCGGACTGTTATAGAATTTCTGGAAGGGGAATTAACACACACACACATACACACAAACACACACAGCTTCATTCTCCTCTGAAATTTTCCCCCTTACCTTGTAAACCGAACTTTACAAATGTTACACTCGTACGGCTTCTCGCCAGTGTGGGTTCGAATATGGCGTGGGAGCTTGCCCGCTCCTTGGATCACTTTCTCGCAGATGGGACATTTCTGGAATGCTTTTGCGCGGATTTTCTTCTCCACCTTCTGAGACCAGGACGGATATTCGCCGCCCTCCTGGGAAGTGCTAAAATAATTCAAGTAATAATCCATGACTCCGTCGTCGTCCTTGCGGTCCTCATCGGCCAGCTGTTGCCGTCCCACTGAATTGATCATTTGCTGCAGGAGCGCGCTGGCGGCCAAGCCGTCCACTTCTCGGGGGTCCTCATCTCGCTCGGGTCCGCCGGAAGCAAATGCTGGAGAATCTCCCACCTCCTGCTGGTCCAACTGAACGCCCGCTGGTACGTCATCCTCCCCCAAGGACACCGGCAGGCTACGCCCGCTGAATTGTCCATTTTGAGAAGCGGGGAACAAGGGCCCCGGGCCCGTCACCTCGTCCTCGTCCCACATGGCGTGCTTGGCATCGGGATCACAGTCGTTTGCCTTTGGTCTGTCACTGAGGGCGGCCTGCGAGTAGAAGTCCATGCCGTTGCAATCCGGCTCTTCGTCCTCCTCTCGGCCACGGAAGGTGAGCCTATGAAGGTCTCTCAAATCTTGGTTGGTCCATGAAAAGTTGCCCTGTTGGCCATTGATGGGATTACTCTGGAAAAACTCCAGGTATTCTTTTGCTCGGAGATGGTTCCTTTGATCAATTTGATCTACTGTATCCATCTGGTCCGTTTTGGCCAGAATCTTCCGGTCTAGGAGATCCGTGCAGACGTCCCTCACCGCCTCGATCTCTAGCAGCTTGGCGGCGTTGAGGATCTCGCCGACGTTCGAAGTGCTGACGGTCAAAGTGGCGGTGTAGGCGAATTCCAGCAAGGCAGAGAGGGCGTCCGCATCCACAAAGTCGATCTCATACACGTTCTGTTGGTCGACCACCAGCCCTGAGGTGAAGAGCTTCTTGAAGTATTGGCTGCAAGCCGCCAGGACCGAACGATGGGTGGGGAATTCCTGCCCGTCCACCAGGATTACCACGTCGCAAAGCAGCCCGTTGTTCCTCTGCTCGTTCAGGCTGCTCAAGATGTCGCTGCTGTGGTCGGGAAAGGGGATCCCAATGGGGCCATCCACACCGCCCTCCATGCTGGCACCAGAGGGCTGTGAAGACAAAGGCAAGACACACATGGTCAATCAAGACACAGGGGGTCAACAACGAGCGCTTTCCCTCTCCATTTTGTACAGCCAAACTATTATTCCCCCCATACATGAGAGTTGCTAGCTCCAGTTAGTTCCAGTTAGTTCCAGTTAACTGACTAAAGTAGGGATCTTCAAACGTGGCCACTTTTAAGATTTGTGGACTTCAACTCCCAGAATTCCTCAGCCAGTCAATGCTGGCTAGAGGACTTTAGGACTTGTGGACTTCAACTCCCAGAATTCCTCAGCCAGCTCTACTTCCTGGGGAATTCTGGGAGTTGAAGTCCACAAGTCTTAAAGTTGCCAAGTTTGGAGACCTCTGCTCTAGGGATGCTGTTTTCAGAGACTGGGGGGGTCGCCACAGAGAAGGCCTGGTCCCTAAAGACAACAATGGCCGAATTTTGATAACATGACCATGGGAGGTGCTGCAATGGTCATTAAGTGTGCAAAACAGTGACCGTCACATTTTTCAGCGCCGTCGTACTTCGAACGGCCACTCAACGAACCCTTGTAAGTCCAGAACTACTTCTATTTTATTCTGGAATTGCCGACATAAAACCCAACTTTTCAAGCGTGGATTGTTCAGGAGTAAAGCTCCACAATGTGTCTTCCTCAACATTTAGGACACAAGCCACACCAGCATCATTATTGTGTGGCTAAACACCATCCTGGTGTATTAAAAGAGCAAGTTTCCCAACAGGAAAGATGGCCTCTCCGCTCCCCATGTTGCTAATGTAGGAATATAGATCAACAAACTCTGATTTCCCCAACCAACCACAGATTATGGACTACAATCCACCCAGGATGCTGCGGAAACTACCACATAAACCTGTTCTGACCTAGGCTTTCCCCAAAAACACTAAGCAGACTCTTTGTCCCGGCAAAACCCCTTTTATTAAACGAAGGTGAATTTCTGGCATCCACTTTCAGCCAAACGGTCTTTCAAGGGTGCAATTAAGAGCACAGACCTTATCTAGCCTGGAGAGCTGCCAAGTAAATATTTCCAAACGCAGTGCTGACAAGGAAGGGCTCAGCACAGAGTCTCTGAGATGCAGAGGCAGGTCTTCACACTGCTGCAACGAAGGAATTGTTTCCTGCAAAAAGCCCCCTCCCCTTTTGCTCCTCTTTTAATCCCTATGGTGTCAGCATTCCAGCAAACCTCCACTCCAACCCATAACTCCGAGACAGACATCTTCTCAAAAGTTTATTTTGGATAGTAA